GACTTGGTAGCCCTTCATCCTAGCATGCTACAGGCCAAATTTCAGTACCCTGTGCCTTTTTGTTATTGAGAACTCGTTTGAAGATTTGACCCCTATGACCTTGAAAGTAGGTCAAGGTCATTCATTTTAACAAACTTGGTAGCCTTTCATCCAAGCATGCTATAGGCCCAATATCAGTACCCTGGGTCTTTTGGTTATTGAGAGGAAGTTTGTTGAAGATTTTAAGACATTTGACCCATGTGACCTTGAAAGTTGGTCAAGGTCATTCATTTGAACAAATTTGGAAGCCCTTTATTCCAGTATGCGACTGACCAAATACCACCATACTGGTTCTTTTGGTTATCAGGAAGTTGTATAAATATCTTTTAAGGCAATAGACTCATGTGACCTTGAATATAAGTGAAGGTCATTCTTATGAACGAACTTGGGAAGTCCTTTATCCTAGCATGCTTCTGGGCAAGTATCAATTTCCTGGACCTTTGGGTTATTAAGAAGTCGTCGTTTTAGATTTTGAACATATTTGATTCCTGTGACCTTGAATTAATGTCAAGGTCATTCATTTGAACAAGAGGCCCAATAGGCCTGCATCGCTCATCTGGAATTAATCTCATATTTGTAATCTTAAACTGGACTAAAATACAGCTACAAGCAGAATATCTGTTTGATTCATAAGAACCTACTAAAAGATTTAAACATATGACGCCCGTGACCTTGAACAAGGACATTAAGTTGAAAGTGGGTCAAGGTCATTCATTTTAACGAACTTGGTAGCCCTTCATCCATGCATGCTATAGTCCCGATATCAGTACTCTGGATCTATTGGTTATTGAGAAGAAGTTGTTTAAAGATTTTAAGACATTTGACCTATGTGACCTTGAAAGTTGGTCAAGGTCATTCATTTGAACAAACTTTGTAGCCCTTCATCCCAGCATGTTCCAGGCCAGATATCATCATCCTGCGCATTTTAATTATTCAGAATAAGTTGTTTTAAGATTTCAAACATATTTGATACCTCTAACCTTGAATATAAGTCAAGTAATTAATTTTAACAAACTTGGAAGCCCTTTCTCCTAGCATGCTTCTGGCAAAATATCAATATCCTATGCCTTTTGGTTATTCAGAAGAAGTTGCATAAAGGTTGGGGTTTTTTGGAACGTTTGACCCCGGTGACCTTGAATATAATTAAGGTCATTCACTTGAACCCCAGTGGGTTTTAATCGGCCCCAAAATTTGAAAGTAAGAACCATGTGAAATTTGAGACCGATCCCTTTTAAACGTTCTGAGAAATAGCGCCAACAAACTTAAATTCAAGATGGATGCCTGTTGGCCATCTTAGTTTTGTGAATAGTCCAAACATTTTATATGCATATTTAGGGACCATGATGAACATTCATGTGAAATTTGAGAACAATCCCTCCAGCTACTTCTGAGAAATAGTGCTCTCAAATTAAAGATGGCTGCCTGTCGATATATAGGGGAAATCCTCAGGTGAAATTTGAGAAAGATCCCTTTTCCTACTTTCCGAGAAAAGCACTAACAAGAATTGTTTAAAGCTGATATTGCAAGTTAAAAAGCTGCTGATATTGCAAGTTAAAAAGCTGCTGATATTGCAAGTTAAAAAGCTTTTAATTTAGATAAAAAAAAACTTACACGTTTCCTAGTTTAGAGATATTCCCCCATCTCTTCCTTCTACCGTTTCTAAGGAAGTGCCGACATATTAGTTTGTCCTTGCTTGGTTACGAGTATGGGTCTAGCTGGGTATAAAAAGTGCATTACCCGTAAAACCGGTTATCATTTGTTCAATATGTGCAAAGTGACACTACTTTACTTTATATAAAGAACACTTTCACACACGATTTTTACCAACATTTTGCATCGGATCAGTTGAATAAAATTGAAATTGGACACATCAAAGATATCGTTAATCTAAGAAAATTAGAAATAGTATTAAATTACGACCAATTAAAATATCTAATGCACAAACGATATTTGGAAGATATGGGGATTAAAAGCTTTTTAACTTGTAGTTACATTATTAGATACATTATTCCTTATTCGGACCTGGTAGCTCAGCAAACTGCAACGAGATGAGGAATAGCATGACAATAAACTAATGCCAGAACTAAATTACATTTATAACTATATTAAAGCATATTCCCCATCCAGACCTGGTAGCTCATCAAGCTACACTGAGATGGGGAATAGAATACATGTAGTGCAGGCATTCTCCTCTTCTGGTTTACCGCTACGCCAAGTACCGCTCCATTCTCCTTGCAGTATCATATCCTGCCTGGTATACGGTCTGCTAGCCGATTGGTCGAGTCGACGTCAATAGCTTGACAATTGGTGAACACACTCAGGTGAAGGATGTTCACCATGCATACATACATGTTTTAGTACATAGTAACCGGGTTGCCCCTTTCTGCCATTTTTTTTGTTTATTGTGTTTCAATATATATATGTTTGTATTTTATTTGTTTTGTGTGGATGGAGATTGAATTTGAAATGTTTGTAATAAATATGTAGTTAACTGTCACGTTTATCTTCTAGTCATTTGTTCTGTTCAAACAGTGTCCCCATCAACATACATCAAACCAGGGAGAGCACACTCAATACCACACACACCTTTCAAGGTTTTGCAACATAAGCTTATTTTTTGAGAGAATTACTGCATATACTACAGGTATTGCACTTTTTACTAGAATTTGAAATATCAAAGAAACTCGAACATGCCTCACATTTCAAACAAATTGAATTAGTCTATTTTTTGGTGTACAATGCTCATTTTTTTTATTGATATCTTCATAGAATTTCAAGTAAAGCATTCAACCTCATTAACCTTACTAAAATTATTTTCTGTTATAAATTTGTCTTCATTATTCTATCCATTTTACTAAGATTCAAAACCTTACGGGTCTGTATTGCTCACCTTATATCAATCACATGTGTAAACCTGTGTTTAATACATTCGACTCCTGCGACCTTGAAAGTGAGTCGAGATGGTTCATTTGAACAAAAATGGTAGCCTTTTCTCCCTGCATGCTAATGACCAAATATCACTTGGTCTTCCGGGTTATTGGGATAAAGTTGTTTGAAGATGTTCACAAATTTGACCCCATGACTATGGGAGTTGGTCAAGGTAATTCATTTGAAAAAAGTTAGGAGCCATTCATCCAAGCATGGTACTTGCTATATACCATCATTCTTCACCTATTGGTTATTTGAAGAAATTGATGCTTTGTTAAGCATTTGACCCAGGTGGCCTTGAAAGTGGGTAAAGGTCATTCATTTGAACCACCTTTGTAAACCTTCGTCCCAGAACTCTAAAGGTCAGGTAGCCTCACCTGGGGCTGTTGGTTATTGAAAAGAAGTTGTTAGGAAAAATCTGACACTGGATGGATACCTCTAGAGTACATTCACTTGGTTAAAGGGCCAGGTGATCAAAGCTTAACATGTCATGAAGTCTGAAACAGATTTTCACAACAAGAGACCAAGAGGGGCTGTATCGCTCAACTGGAAATGTTAGCAAACGCACACCATTTATACACCAAATCAAAACCAAATCCCTTAATCCCTACGTTGGATTTTCAATGTTTAACCTATATTTCCCCTATTGAGTCCAGCCCCTACGCCCTCAGGGGCCTGGGGGCCACATCCATGATTTATAAAAAATTCAGTCCCCTTCACCCAAGTATGCTCCAGACTGAACAAGGACAAAATATCTTAATCCCTACGGTAGAAGAAGTATTTTAAAGGTCTTACCTCTATTTGCCTTATTCAAGGGCCCTGCCCCTAGGGGGTCGGACACACCATTTATACATAATCAAATCCGCTTGGCCCAAGGATGCTCCAGACTAAATCAGATTGAAATCCCTTAATCCCCAAGATAGAAGGATTTTAAAGGTTTAACCTTTATTTCCCCTCTGCCCCCAGGGGGGCCACATCCACCATTTATACAAAATTAAGTCCCCTTCGCCCAAGTATGCTCCAGACTAAACAAGGACAAAATATCTTTATCCCTACCATAAAGAAGTATTTTAAAAGGTTTTACCTCTATTTACCCTATTCAAGGTCCCTGTCCCTCTGCCCCCAGGGGGTTAGATACTCCATTTATACATAATCAAATCCCCTTGGCCCACCAATTATACAAAATTGAGTCCCCTTGGCCCAACTATGCTCCAGACCAAATAAGGATGAAATCTCTTATCCCTATCGTAGAAGAAAGATTTTACCTCTATTTTCCTAACCCCTCTGCCCCGAGGGGGGGCCACACCCACCAATTATACAAAATGGAGTCGCCTTGGCCCTTGTATGCTCCAGACTAAATAATGATAAAATCTCTTATTCCTACAGTAGAAGGATTTTAAAGGTTTCACCTCTAGGCGAGCTAAAAATTTGACCTTGTTAATATGTCTCTATAGTTCTTTACCTATTTATTTCACCATAATATGACCTTTGTCTTTCGTTTTATTCTCATTGTTAAAACAATGACCTATTTTAATAGTCCACTATGGTCATTGTTGTAACAGCGAGTATAAAACTGAAGTCTACTAGATCATGTTTACAGTTTTTATACTAATTCACTACAACAGAATATGACCTGGTAAAAACGGTCTCAACGGTCTCAAGCTTTATACAGATTTTTACAACAGAATGACTTCAGTAAAACATGTCTTCAGTAATCTTTGTAAAAATGTTTTCAGTTTTACAGGTTTCCATTTTTACCACAACAGATTATAATATTATAACACCTATAGTACCTCTGGGCCCAACAATATATGCCCCTCCTATGCATATCTGATGTAATTAAAATTCTTCTAAGGCATTATTGTACCCAAATGTACTTGAACTGAAGGAATAATATATATTTCGTATATTTCTATAATCTAAAATAATAATTTGTAATTGCCTTTCTTTGTACATATTTCAAAACCATGAAAATAGAAATTAAATTATCCATTTAGTCAGTAATCTATTCATTTCACACAATTAAAACGGAGTATATTTCTATTGTTTATTGATTAAAGGCAGATTTCACAATTACATAGTGTTAATATTGACAGTGTCTAATTAGAATACTGTCATATTTGACAAACTTATTGCGAAGAAACCTTTGACAAATCAGATAGCAGTATGCTAATAAACTAGGTGCAGGTTTTTCTCACCTTTTAGCATAGCCCTTGTCATAGTAAATACTGACCATGTAATGTTTCATCAGAATCGGGACATATTTGACAAAGTTATTGTGCAGAAACCTTTGCCCAATCAACACATTATGCACCAATCTTCAACGCCTTCGTATAATGTACATGCAACAAAAGTTTCATCAAAATAGAACAATATTTAAGAAAATTATATACCTTGCAGAAATGTTAGTCTGGAAATTGACCAATCAGAGCACAGTATGCTTATTAATTATGTGCAGATTTTGCTCAAGTTTGAACTTAGCCTCTTGATGTACATGCATAGGAAGTTTCATCAAAATGAAGTATTTAAGAGTTATCCTGCGGACCAGTGTGAACAGACGATCCCCATACCATGTCCTGTCAAAAGTTGATAGGTATAACATGTCTTACTTAAATTGTCACTGTATCTACAAAATATTTCCAAAAATAAGCATATGGTTGAGGTGGGAGGCATCTTTTCTGTGCCTGCAACACCACTCATTAAACAATAAAAGTGATTTAACATTGGGAATGGTAGACAGACCTTGTTTTTAACAGGGGTTGACACTAACACTAGTCCAGGACTAGTAGATTTCAGCAAGGACTATAGTTTATCACCTAGCCCAAATGGTCCTTTGGACTTGTGAAGAAAAAATAAATAGAATAAGAATGGTTCTTTTTAAAATATAGAAAACAGCTTAAAATAAGAAATATTGCATGATAATTGTCAAAATTTTAGCTTAAGTCCCCTACAGTCAATTACTTTTCGACGATTCGTGCTGTAGATCGCGATGTTTCATTATCATGGAAATCTTGGACCAGTTACATTGACGAACAACTAGAAAATAATCTATTCTTCTAGTCTGTTGACTACCAAGCAATAACAGTTGATGTCTAACGCTGATTTTATACCTACCACCCATACATAATGTGTCAATATAGGTTCCTCCCACCTTCTCCATATTTAAGGAATCGCTTTTAGTAAATTATGTGGTTAGTTATGTAATTATTTTTAAGAAGACCCCGATGGTATTCAGCGCTTTTTGTTTGATACCCATTTTTACAAGAACAGAAACACTGGAAACGACACCATGGTCATAATTTATTTTGCATTTGGACAAAAGTTAATTCAACAATTCAATGAAATCTTCCTATTATATATAGCACTTATAGCAGAAAAAGTTTGTCTACTGACATACAATGTAGCTTTTATAAGCTAGTTCAATTACAACTGGTTCTTATCAACCAAAGACAAATTCTGGATGCTGTCATGCCCTCAAAATCTGAAGTTCAGTGCCAAGATGAAATGCCATCACCTTAGATGCTGTCCAAAGTTTTATAAATCAGAAGTTCGGTGATGTGGAACAACTTCCTAGAAGTTCAGTGATGTGGAACAACTTCCTCATACTTTGCTGTAGTATCATTATAAAACTGCAATTCAGTGCCAAGGAATATTTCATCTTGTATAGTTGTCATACACTCGTCATGCTAGAATTCAGTGCTGAGGAAGAATGCCAGCACCCACTGCTCTCATACATTCCTAAAACTTCAGTTGAAACACTGAAGAAAAATTGCCGTCAACTCATACGATGCAAAAACTGAAGTTCATTAAGCATTTAACAAACAGTATCTGTAAGATATGATCTTGAAAGTGTTCAACATTCGGCTACAGATACCAGTCGTAGACAGAATAAAAGGATTGAATGTCAGTTGAAGAATTTAAAAGTTCAAGTCTGGTCTTCTTAAATTTGTCACGATAATTCCTTGTTTCCATTTAAATGGTTACTTTGAAACAAGTTGTCCATTTTCTTCTCCCCACTTAATCCCTTTTTCAGCATTTCTGTCCATCAAACAGAATTTAAGGGCCACTGTATAACAACCAAATCATAATTCTATGTCTTGAGCCAGTGGGTGATTAATCTGAAGTCGTAGGTGCAAAATATAGCAAAAAGTCTTGTTGAGTCCAGTTATTTAGTAACCGGCTTGGTACCAATTATAACTTCTGAACCCATGGAGCTAAGGACAGTGACCTAAAATGAAACAAAAAGTAATCATGTAAACATATTCTGCAGAATGTTTGTGGTTGTTTTTTCAGATTTTGAATGTAGTCCTGAAAACTTTCAAAGTTCCTTCCTTAGAGGTATCCCAATAAACTTGTTCTAAAACCATCTTTAATATTAACAAGAGGCCAGGGGGCCTGTATCGCTCAACTGTATAATAAACCAACCATGGGAAATTATTCTTAATACATAAAATCCTTCCAATGATACAGAAGAAGAAAGATTTTGAAGATTTAAACCTCTAATTTCCCTATTCGGCCCCAAACCTCTGCCCCTAGGGGAGCCATACCCACCATTTATACAAAATTGAGTCCCCTTGGCCCAAGGATGCTCCAGACCAACTTACTTCTGAGTTAGCAAACAAAAATTAATCCTCCAGCACTTCGTTCAGCTTGCATTGATTTCAGCTTCCTCAGTTACCATCTAACAACTTCTTGTTACCTAAATTCATTATTTTTCACTTACCATCAATGTGTCGCCTTCTTCAAAATTTTTGGTAATTTCCGCCCCGATATCATTTTTTGGAACAGTCAAATCATCCCTGGTCTCACCAGAATCTTCCATCAAAGATGCATATCCATCGTTGATGTCTACCAACTGAAAGAAGAAATAAGAAATATGTTGAAACTTTTTTTCAACCAATATTTTACAAAAGCCCCTTATATCACTTTGCAAGCTTGGAACATTAGCAATTTTTTTTTATGAAATTTTAAGATATTCCTCATTTTTTCTTTATTTAGAGAAAATAAAGGATTGTTTTGCTAGGGAAGCACCCTTATTCTAAAATATCAGTAGTGACAATTATCAGCGACACAACGAAAATTGCTACCTAGTGATACTTCCAATCAAATATGATAAATATCTATCGCATAGTTCCAGAGAATAAGTCTGTTATATTAAGAATAACCCAATTTTCCCCTTTTGGCCCCACCCCTCAGCCTCCTGGGGGGTCAGCCCCACCATTTGTACAATTTTGAATCCCCACCACCTAGGGATGCTTCCAGTCAAATTTAGTTAAATTCCAATAAGTGGTTAAGAAGAAGTCGATGGACGCCACAGTATGGCATAAGCTCACCTTGGTCTTCTAGACCCAGTGAGCTAATAAATTGTGAATAATTTGTGAAATTTTTCACTCTTTTTGTATGAAACTATATCATATAGATTGTAGATAATCACCTTTATCCATACAGTTTCAATAAGAGCACTTTTGTGGAACACATATGAGAGGACAAAAGCCTGGAAAGGTAAGATTCCTCAATAGGCTTACCTTTAAGCACAGAGGCTCGCCTGGTAAGAACCAAATTGGCCAGCAGTGTACACTGCAAAGCTGCAGAGGCCTTCAGACAGTTGTGCAAGGATGAGGTCACCCAATCCTGCACAGCCTATCTGTCACTCTCAGCAACCTCTGACTCCCCGATGGACACTTCCGATAAACAAACTAGAATTATGTCAGTGTGACATTAAAGCCGCTCACCACTTTAAATTTAATAGCTTCAGTTACAGGTTGAGCATCAATATCTAGTACAATATCTCAGATGTGTGTTCTGTATACTGCTAATTGAAAATCAGGTCATGTGATGATGTTGCATTTGGAATATCCAAAATCTATTGCCTCTTATATGATGCTTTAAAAATATTCTCCCTCTCCTCTTTTTTTACCCTCATTAAGTGTGACGCATTGTTGTAATTTTCATTAATTATTATCCTCCGATGATTTGATGAGCATTAACGTGCATAATGGCATGGCGAATGGATAATAAAGAATAGGTGCATTTTGTGCTTGTGAAATGAAGGATAATTAAAAGTAGTGGGAAAACATGCATGGAGAAAAGAAACGTACTACTTTTATTTTTATTTATTTTTTATTCATATTAATAACAATTATAAATATATTTAGTGACTTAATTTACTGTCTTTGAATATACAAAAACTCACAAATGTTCTTATATTTGAATTATATTTCTCAATGCGACTTTACCAACGTAAGAGTTATTTCCCTTACACCGGATTGGACAATAATTTGACAAGGCACGAATTCTTGTCAAACAGCAGCAGCAGTTGTGTCATGTTCTTAAATTGTTACATTTTCACAAATAAATACACCAGAAAAAAAACATGCTGTGTTACAGAAATGTTTGATAAGCATACACGGTTCACATATTGTCTCGTCTCAGGGCCATTACCATTATCATGGACAGTTATACATCCCTGCCGTTATCAACTTAAGCACGATATGTCATAGAACGTTTCCATTTGAAACATCAAAATAAAGGTTTTACTTCATCACTCATACGGTTTATAAGTATAAATATTTACTTCTACCGTCATCAGACAGCGTCAGTGCTTGGCAGTCATCACATGTATATACCTGAATCATATGTGTTTCACACGCGTAAACCTCCTCAGACCTCAATCGAGTTACTAAAACGCTCAAACCCAGTGCACGAATTTCATCACCACAACACTCGTAGAATGCACTAGAGATAAACATTTTGTGTTCAGCAATTATTTATAGTATGGATTATTATTTGGAGAAGAGTATCAGAAGACTTTATGTCACCCACAGGTGGGTGTCGGATATTCTACTTTCTATTTACAATAACGAAACTATATACCGGAAGCATGCAAGACTGAATTATGCGCATGCACCCCGACGGAAGTGGGTCCGTCATTTCGTTCAATGGACAGAATTAATAAGCCGCTCAGCTCTCGCCAACAGCTGCTTAAAAAGGGTCACCGTAAGGAAATTAAAATATGAGAGTACCTGAAGAGAAAGCCGCAGAATTTTCTCCAGTTAGTGGTGTTCCTTGGCAGAGAACAACACCACCTGGTCAGTCGCCACTCCTGGCCATTGCCGAAGCTCGTGAGTTTCGAGCTTAGCTGTTTGACTCTCAAGTTTGGCGTTGTGAATGGCGTAGTCTGAGGACCTAACCTCAGACAAATCTGCCGAACTTAACTGCAGGCCAGCTGCACGAGAGGACGAAGCAGCCTTCTCTGTCATCCTAGCATGGGCGACAGCCAAAGACGAGGAAACAACAGAACTCTCAGGCAAAGACTTGTCAGAACAAGCCGAAACCTTAGACGGAACAAGCTGACTCAGCAGCGTGGTACCCTACGGAATGGCAGATGCCGCAGGAGGGCAAACCTCCTCCCTGAGGACTCCGGCTACGTCGGCACGAAGCGATCGGAGAAATACTTAAGAGATAAACAGGGTCTTCGAGTTAAAAGAGTTCAAGATAACGGGGTTCGTTTGTATGCAGTATTATGCATTTTAACTGTTTAGCTTTAAAGAAAACATATAGGGAAAATATTTCGAAGAAAAAACACTATTTTCTGGTCGGAATAGGGGAATTTTAAAGCACAAAGGGGGAATTTCAGAACAGGGGAATTTTCTTCTGTATGAGAAACTACCCATAAACAGTAGTGTATCAAGTCTAGATTGATCCCAGCCAGTCTATGGGAATGCTTAGTCTTTCACAAAATAGTCTCTTTATAGCTGCATAACATAAATGGTTAATTGCAAAGGTACAGCCTCCTTAATGACTGAAAAATGCATGTCGTGGATATAAAATTGCTGAACCAAGGGGGCCAAAGCAATTGAACTTGATATAAACCAACAGGATTTTTTATGACGCAGGCTATTTGGCCATGTTACTTTCAAACACTGCACAAACTGAAGAAATATATGGCAAGAAGGTACTGTACCTGTAAAGTGGAAATTATCATCCAATGAGATCACAGGATTCAACCTCACCAAGGTTTTAAGCATTTCTTTTTACTACCTCAGATGAGCTTTGACTCGAGGGTTTGAATAGAATAACTTACCTGGTAATCATTTCTTTTGACATGAGGGACATTCATGTTATGTGTAGATGGACAAATATCTTCATATTTTTTACCGGTGAAAATGTCTATACCAACCATATGAACCTGAAATAAGAATAAAAATCAAATATTAAAAGGCTAAATCTGTTAGTAGAAGACAATGAGAAACAATTTAATTCAATATATGATGTCAGAAAACAGACAAGGCCTATAGATACAAGTCTTCCCCTAAACTCTGGTACACCTGTTATAAAAAAAATATTTTTACAGAATCAAAGTGTACATTAACCCTTGTCCACATGGAAGCTCCAGAATTTTACCTTTAAAAAAAGAGTATATTTAATGATTATGACATTGCATTGTCATTGCTCATTTCCATGTCCTTTTGTTGCTTTAATAGTTTGACTAAAAACAAGAGGACTGCATCGCTCACCTGGTATAAATCTCACACTTGTATTTAAGTTGTAATCTTAAAAGTGGACTAAAATACAGCTACAGGCAGAATATATGTGTTTGATTCATAAGAACCCATTAAAAGATTAAACATATGACGTCGGTGACCTTGAATGTTGAACAAGGACATTAGGTTGAACAGAGTTTATAGTCTTCCAACCCAGCATGCCTCTAGTAAAATATCATTCACCCTGGACCTTTTGGTTATACAGAACAAATCATTTAAAGATTTAAACATATATTGACCACTGTTACCTTGAATATGGGCGAATGTCATTCACTTGTTAGTCCATCATCCAAGCATGTTAATATCATCACCTCTGGGCTTTTGCTTATTCAGAAGAAGTTGTACTACAGGTTTTTAACATATTTGACTGCTGTGACCTTGAATATAAGTCAATGTCATTCATTTGAACAAACTTGGTAGCCCTTAATCCCAGCATGCTACAGGCCCAATATCAGTACCCTGGGCCTTTTGGTTATTGAGAAGTCGCAGAATATGTAGCTTTGGGCCAGGCGAGCTAAAAATACCTCCATTGATACTGAAAAAGGATTTTTAAGATTCAAACCTCAAATTCCCCTCTAGGGCCCCATAACTCTGCACCAAGAGGGGCCACACCCTCTGTTTATAGAAAATTTAGTCACCTTTGCCAAAGGATACTCCAGGCCAAATTTGGATAAAATTCTGCCAGAGTTGCCAACAGAAGGTAAGAATTTTGAAGATTTAAACCTCCAAATCTCCTTTTGATCCCTGCCCCTCCCCACCCACCATTTAAGGGACACCACTGCTGAATTAATTATTGAAATTTAAATTAAATTACTTGATTTTTCAAAAGTGCATAGTTTGAAAAAATATTTGTTATGTGAAAAAAAGTTCTAAAGTTGCTTCAGTATTTACCTGTACATGTGGTAATAAAGGTAAGAAAAGGTGAACCTTTTTATTAATCGGATTTAAGCACCAGAAAGATCATTTTAAAATTATTTTTGTCCGCAAATGTGATTGGCAAATGATAATGGAGATTAAAAACTTTGTTTTTGACATAAGACGTTGTACATTTACAAGGAGATTCTCATGTTAAAAGGTCAGGTATTTCGTCAAGAATTGCATGTGATTTGCTACAGGTTTCAGGTCATCATTCAATATATTTACTGTCACAGTCGGCATATAGATATATCTTAGCTACAGTCTAGTTTATGATTAAATCATCGATAAAAAGTTGGAAGAAATAAATCGGCTGCAGACAGCATGTGCGCCTCGTTCTGCAGAAATTTTCATGTTTGCGTAGGGCACAAAGCCGTTCATTGGAAAGTTACATATTATGTTACACTGAAGTATTTCCACATCAACCATGTCAAACCCTTCAAAACCTTTATCATCGTAGGTGACGCTGGAGAATAAATGTTTACCATCATATTCATCACTTCAATCTACACGTCCTCCATTTTTTTGACGTTTTTTTCCGGTTTGAAATTCTCTCGCATACCTTTGGTTATTACTTGGGTACATTGCCGGGAATATCAAAGGTAATGACAAAACAACCAATCAGAAGCCTTCTACTATATGCTTTCGGGTTTGGTATAGCAACAATCTGCTTTCACACTTTCTGTTTACTGTTTAAAAACCTACAGACCGAGTGCCACAATTGCTGTGCACAGCACTGACGGCCCAACGTAGCAGCCTAAAGGTTAACAGACTGAATTGGGAAAATAAAGCATTATTTGTATTGAAATTGGGATAACTGTACATTTTCCAGTTTTTGGTCATGTCAACTTGGAAAATGAGGCACTTTTAAGCAAGGGGAAACAGCCCGAATTCGGCAGTAAAACTGGACAAACGTCGCTGTATGTATTAGCACATGAGTAGCGTAGTGATTTTTGAATCCTGTACATCATTTTCAAATTGTAACAAATCGCATTGCTTTTAGAGCAATGAATAACCTTTTAAAGCAACCAATTTTTGAAAATCATGAATAAAATCAGTCCCCTGGTAATGGAAAAGGCAAGCACAAGCCCAAGACTCGAATATATATATATCTGTCCTGATAAAAAAATGGAAGGATATAATTCAACTGAGATATGCTTACTTTAGCATGACCGTGTTTTCCTGTTTTAGATGTAGACATTTCTACAATTTTGCAAGGATGCCCTTTCATAATAACGTGGCCATTCTTTCTCAATGCCGAGCACTGCTGTGGATAAGACTGTGAGGCTCCAGATTCTGTAGTTTGGAAGTCGCTATCATTATCAATATCTTCTTGTACGTCACCCATTGTTGAGGATATTTCTAAAAAAAAGAAAAGAACAAATAATCGTTTTCAGTATCACAATACAGCTCCATTGTAATAGTTCCTTAATACAAGAGGCCCAGAGGGCCTGTATGGCTCACCTTGATATCAAAGCAATATCATGGCTAAATATTCTCCAAATGAGGTCCAAGGGAATATGCCAGATCTCAACTGTTTCCAAGCTGTGACTCAGAAACTAGGTCCCTAGGGTTGTGGCCAGACCCCAGGATCAATTCTAATATCATGACTGCATTTGTCTCTTTTTGCCCAGCATTTGTATATATCGTTTTTGGTTGGGAATCGCAACCGTTTCAAAGTTATGACCCAGGGGTTATGTCTGCAAGGGTGGGGAAGACCCTGGGGTCAATTTTAGTATCCAACCAATACCCAAGGCCATCCTGGAAGCATATGTGCATTCATCTCTTTATACTCACGAATTGTCTATATGGTTATAGGTCGGGGATCTCATCTGTTTCCAAGCTGTAACTAAGAAACTAGGTCCCTAGGGGTTCAATCAGACCCCAGTGTCTATTCTAATATCTTGACTGCATTTGTCTCTTTATGACCAGCATTTGTATATATAGTTTTGGGGTGGGGATCTCAACCGTTTTTAAGTTATGGCCCAAGGACTATGTTTCCAAGGGGGGGCAGACCCTAGGGCCATCCCGGAAGCAAATGTGCATTCTTCTCTTTATACTCGGCAATTGTATCTGTGGTTATATGGACGGGATCTCAATCATTTCCAGGCAATAAACTTTTTTTGGCCCCACTCCTTAGCCCGGTGGGTCAGCCCCACCATTTGTACAATTTTGAATCCCTGCCTCCCATGAATACTTCCGACCAAATATGATCGATTTCCAGTGCATAGTTCTAAAGAAGTCATTTATAGCAATCTAGCCAAATTGCCCCCTTTTGGCCCCGCCCTCAGCCCTATGGGGGTCAATCCCACCATTTGTACAATTTTGAATCCCCACCACCTAGGGATGCTTCAAGTATAATATGGTTGATATCCATCACTTACAGTAGTTCTAGAGAAGACATCGCTTAAAACAATATAGCCAAATAACCCTTTTTGGCCCCGCCCCTTAGCCCCCTTGGGGGTCAGCCCTTCCATTCGTACAATTTTGAATCCCATCCACCTAGGGATGCTTCCAGTCAAATTTAATTACATTCCAATCAGTGGTTAAGAAGAAGAAGTCGTTTAAAGAAATTGTTGACGGACGGACGAGGTGAGCTAATAATACACCTCTGTACCATATTTCAATTTGAAAAAATGACCCGAGTTATGACGAGAATTATTTTTTTACGATTGCGGCATGGCACATGTGTGTATTCGCATGTAAAGTGAAGAAAGCATCACTAGGTAAAATGGTTAAAATTACTCGCTAAAGTAAGCGATAGCAGAAGATATGTTATTAGTGAAGACTTTTATTGATATATATTCCAAATTATCAAGTTATGGTTAATTTATTATTACGAACGGCGGTGGGGCATACGCGTGTGAATAGAATATTACATATCGTAAAGTGTCTTCAGACAATATCTCTAAAATTAATCGATTTAAGTAAGCGATATCTGAAGATATGTTATTCATCTTCACCAAAGATTGATGACATTATCGGGGCTTTGTTTTTTATCAGTCATGCCAATTTTAACTGACAAATGTCTTGAAACGTTTTCCTGTATGCGTCTTGTACAGAAAGTAAGCGTGGTATCAGGGAAGCTGGTTTCTATGGCCTTAACTAAAGCTTTCTCCTCGTCAGACCCTATAACGAGGTCACACAGGTCAAAAGTCAAGATCAAGGACACTGGCAATATGCGATAAAAACTGAGTACATGAAAAAGCTCACATCCCAATGTAAATAAACAGGACCAAGCATAATAGGAGAATTTTGCTTACATTTTCTAACCAAGGATAATTGAAGGGGGTTTCCCTTTTATAACAATTACTTCTCGCATGAATTTGCGGTCATGGATTTCATTGAGAACACTTAAAAGTCTGTCTGCCTTATTCTGACTACAACTGTTTGGTTGGTTGTTGTCTTGTGTTTTTTTCTGGGGACACTGGAAAGAATACTTTGTAACGTCGACCAACTGGTAAGACATATATTGAAGAAGACCGACCCCCACAACCATCATTATCGGGAGTATCTTTTATAGATACCTTCCACGAGGGATGATGGCCACGGATTATAACAACCTAGTGGAAGCCCTGAATGCAGCCCTTGCGAGGAAATACAGGCAGCACCCCAAGGTCCACTTCTGGTCCTTGCGGAGGCTGTACCGCCTCATAAGGTCCGACTTCGTTGATGGGTTCACCTGAACCTAACTTAAGTGGTTCTTGACACAGCTGATGGAAGGGGTATATGTTTATATAGCAATATAATCTAAATGTGTTCACCTATGTGAAGCCTTACCCTACGTACACATACGTGGCACAATGTTTAGCTTAAAATTTGTACATCGTATGAATTATATTCAAGATAACTCAATCATTTTTCAACAGATCAATTTAATATATATAGTTGCATCATAGTCATATGAATAACATGTCTCATGATGTCATTACTTTATCAATTATTTTAAGAGGTAAAGTCTGAAGACGCTTCTTGATCTGTACAGTTTTATAAACATGCGTGTGCCAAGCCGCAGATAGTAAAAAAATAAATTCACGATAACTTGTCATTTTTCATATATCTAAGTGAAATTTGATATAGAGGTGTAATATATTCACATTAACAACATATCTTCTGATGTCGCTCACTTAATCGATGAATTTTAGAGATATTGTCTGAAGACGCTTCTTCATATACTGAACAAAAAAGAAACGCACAATTAAATTATGCAATCAATAGCCTATGATATTTTAGGAAATTTGTACAAAATTTTATATCAATATGAAGGGACAAGTCTACTCTTAATTACAATACTGCAGAAGAAAAGTCTGTGCGACGTCACTCGTGTCATCAGTAGTTACTCAAAGTGGGATACCCACGAAAAACAAAATGACACTTCAGTACCTGGTGTGGGCACCTTTTGCACGAATCCCTGCACGGATTCTTCTATGCATTGAATTCATGAGATCATTTATTTGCTTTAAGGGAGTGTTGTTCCATTCTTGTGTTAATGCTGCGATCAACTGGGGGTGGTTACATTAGTTGGGGGGGTTTTGACGTTTCCTAATACGCCTATCCCACAGATGGAAAATTAGGTTATGACGTCTGAGAAGTGGAAGGACATAAGATTGGAGGATCTGGTCTCTGTATTGAACGGCATCAAGGTTTTGATCCAGGACCACTAAGGGGGATTTAACTCCATGGGAGATGCCTCCCCAAATCATTACAGAAGCCCCACCGAATCTATCGCGTTCAAACACGCATGCGTCGACGAAATACCCTTTTTCTAGACACGTCGGTGAACATCATACGCCTCCATCGACGCATCTCAAACCTATTCAGGCCATGTCGGCGAAACCAGTCAATACGCACTTGCTGCCTCAGTGGTGTCAGAGGTGGCCCGACATAAGGTCTGTGCCGCTGATTTCCTCGGCATGCAAGCCGTTCCTGGCAGGACTAATGGGTCTGCCACGAGTACCTAAGGTATGTGACGCAGTCTCTACAGCAGTCTTGAATCTGTTGCGCAAGTGCGACAATGGAATCGTCATGTCTTGTCGTGTGGTCGTTAAACACAGATGATTGCTCCTGGGACGATTGGAAACTAACCCAGTAGCACGGAAACGTGTACAGAGACGGTTAATTGTACACGGGCCAACACCAAACTGCCGTGCGACAGCAGTTTGACTATTTTCATCCATCAACATCGCAATTGCTCTACCCTCTGAATTTGCAAGAAGTGTGGCATCTCGGTCAATGGCGAAATCAAAATGCCAACATGGAAAATTAATGTGGCTGAATTTAGAGTATCTGTTGAGATTATTTGTTTGAAAAACTCCAGCTTGGCTTGATCACGTCGCATGATTTGAACTAAAGAAGCTCACAAAGTCACACAATGACATTGTCACGTTTGGCTGATTTTAGGGTAGATTATTGAGAAGGGAGATCATTCTTAATGTAATACCTGACCAAATTATTTCCTTACAGCTAAGGTGTACGGAAGGGGGGGGAACTTTGTTCGGTATATGTCGAGTTCTATTCACACACGTATGCAACGCTGCCGATCGTAATAATTATATATTCCTCATCATTTTTTCAAATATCGAGCTGAAATTTGGAATATATATCAATAAAAGTCAACTAATAACATATCTTGTTGCTTACTTTAGCGAGTAATTGTAACGATATTATCTGGCGACTCTTTCTACACTTTTCATGCTAATACACACATGTGCCACGCCGCGATTGTAAATATTCAATTCATCATAACTCAAAATGAAATTTGGTACAGATGTGTATTAGTCATATTAACAACATATCTTCTGATGTCGATTACTTTATTCAGTATTTTTAAAGATTTTGTCTGGCGACACTTGTTGTCACTTGAAGACGCTTTTATTATTAGGAGGACCGCTGCTGACAATTGAAATTATGAGAGTTTTCTTGTTAATTGGGTGTTTTTTTTAAATCACTTCCAAAATGTTTGCTCCTAAGAATAGTCAACACTAGACAAATATGTGTTGCAACAATTGAGCGTTTCCTTCAATTTCACTGTGTCATATTTTGACCTCATTCTGCTTTGCTGTGTACACACAAAACCCTTACGTTCTTCAAAAATTCAAGATGGCGAAGTTTTGACAAGTCTACAACTTTGCTAGATGACAATATTTCACGACTTTTAAGACGTTACTCAGTGGACCAATATTCTGAATTTTCCCTTTGATAAAGCTTTACTGACGATTTTCAAATTCCCCAGTAGTGAGTCAATAGGTATTTGCTGTTTCAAGTTAATGTTGTTACGTGTTCTTCATCAGAGTATCTACAAGATGGTGGACATCCGGGTCCTTCTATGAGAGCAACGCATTTTATCTCCCAATGGGGAAGGGACCACTCTTACCATCATCAAACACTGCTTAATCAATTGCAAAAAACAGGGCCGATACGATTTATTTTTTTAAACTGTCCCGCAACAATATATAACCGAAACATTCCACTACTCGGGATGACATCAAAATGGACACCTGGCAACTTCACAAATACATGGCTCGGCTATAAATACCTGGACCTACTAGTACAACGGGTTATTTTTTTAGGTAAATCTTAATATTTTTAATTAACATTTTAAAAAAAAGTATGACTAGAAACTAATGATTGGACCAGCGAAGCCGATGCAGTTATTATGTTTGGTTTGTACGGGTTTAATCGCCATGCTGGAACAGCACAAGGCGAGCCCGCTCGCAAGACCAGCATATTGAAGAGATGTTGGACAGAGACTACGTTTTCATTAAAAATCAAACAAGCAGACGCGTTGTTACGTTTTGTGACAACTTAATATCAAAATAATGTTGAAAGACATCGACAACATTTAGAAAGGATAAGACAGTAATTGTAAAACTCACGTGTTTCCCGAGAGCGAAATAGAAAAAGGATTAGTTACGCATGCGCAACACGTAAATTGGTCTTACACCAGAGGGAGGCACTGTTGTGACATACTGGTTATCTGTTGTATATCGCTACCGCCAAGTGATATTGATGAAAATGCAAGCATCTAGGCGAATCCAGGCGAGGCGACCGATATTTTATTGACTGTATCATGGTTTCAACTAATCAATTACTATTCTTGTATGATTGGTTTAACCACATTGTCATATGATAAAATAACAAAAGGTCTCCTTTTTTTATAAAAACTATTTTTTTTAAGACACTAAAAACCAACACACAGAGCATCCGTTTCTCTTTACACCTAGATACATTTTCATTTAAATATATCAAAATATCTTAAATTGTAGTAAAATCGACGGGCTTATGATAAGGTCAAGCAAAGCCAATATGCAAAAATAAACTATATGGGCCTATAGCAAATACATGCAAGACATAATCATTCCCGAGTTGAAGGAGAAACTTAAAATGTTTTGGAGTTTCATAAATAGCAAATATATACATATAGTATAATCCTCATCTTTAAGAAAGGCGATAAACACTCTACCGAAAACTGTATACTGTCTTGTTTCCTTAACTTCCATAACATGTCATCTCCTCGAACATCTCATTCACAGTAACATCGCTATGACTCACTACCTATTCTAACAAATGTTCAACACGGTTTCCCATCTTTGCAGTCTACCGAAACCCAACTTATTTTTTATTAACTCTTGATGACTTATCCAGAAACATAGATAAAAACAAACAGACATATATTGAAATTTAGTTCCCAATCAAAGGCTATATTAATACTCTCTTAACTCACGTATTATTGTACAAAAAGCCAAACATGTCAAACATTTAATCTAGATAAAACTGTTGCATTAACTGTTACAAAAAAACAACCGAAATCATCCTCCACTTCTCTTTAACAATCAAATAGTAAATGAAATAACTAATCATAAACACCTAGGTCTTTTATTCAACCCCAAAGGTTCATGGAGTAATCACATACAAGAAATCTATGAAAAAGCATGCAAAATATTGAATATTTTAAGAACACTCAAATACAAAGTTGACAGAAATGCTTTATTAACACTATAGTATTCTTATGTAAGACCTATTCTTGAGTATGCAGATGTTATTTGGAACAATTGCACTACTGGCGAAGCGAAATTATAAGAATCTGTACAAATTGAGGCTATGAAAAACTGGATTACCAAGTGGAACATCACATCAGAAACTATATTCTGAAACTGTGTTTGAACTGCTCTCTAGCTTCTAGGCGTCATAAACACAATGTTTAAAATCCTAAATCATATGACACCGGTATATTTACATGACATTGTTAAACCTTATATTAATGATGCTGTTCCACCTCATAATCTTAGACAACACAGATTTTTTAATATTCCTCGCTTTAGATCTAATTTATTTGGCAATAGTTTTTTTCCAGATGTCATGAGAATATGGAATTCGCTTGATTCTGAAATAATCTCAGCACCATCATTAAATATATTCAAATCTAAATTGAATGATGAAAGAATCCCTCTTGTAAATATTACTTCTGTTTTCTAAATTGTAGCCCTAGAAAGTTAAATGTTATCCTCTGCCAACTTAGAAATAATGCCAGTGACTTATATTATGACAAATTTGCTGACCATCTATCTCCTGATTCTTCCTGTTCATGTGGTCATCCAATTGAAAATTCTGAACACTTCTTCTTCACTTGTCCAAATTACTCTAATTCCAGGAACTTAATCCATGATATCTTTACCAGAGCTGGATACTGAAATGTTCAACTTTTGACATCTGGAAGTACTGACTTACCTCCTGAAATAAATAAACTGAATTTGTCTAATGTTGAAAAGTACATCAATGCATCTAAACAGTTAGGATGATGTAACTAAATGCTTAAATTCTATCAAACTATCATATATGTTTTTTTTGCATGTATATATAATTAAATGAATTATTTGCTGTAATTAACCTAATTCAATTATAATTGTTGATAGTTGCTTGTCTATTTAGATAATATTGTAAATATCATATAGTGAATGAATATTGACACGAGTGTGAATAGAGAGTGTAAGTAGTTAATTGTATGAATGTATGATTGAGTGTATGCAATAATATAAATAGCTTATTACATTACATGTATATATATAAAATCATACTTACACCATCATGGAGAAGATTGATATAGGCCTAGCCTGTTATCTTATCCATTTATATATGTTTATATATATATATAATAAAATTTGTTAAAACATAAAAAAACATGTCTTTGGATATCGCAGTTTTAGAATATCTAGAACCCAAAAAGACTTATTAAATGGAACAGAATCAGACAGCTGTCCTCTCTGGGGTCCCTCAGGGGACAGTCCTCGACCCTCTCCTATTTTTGGTGTACATCAATGATGTTGTCGACTCAGATTCGTGTAACATAAAACTATATATATGCTGATGACTATGTGCTACAAACACAAATAAACTCTATAGAAGATTGTGTTAAGCTGAACAAGGGCCTTAAGTCTTTTGATAAAGACCCTTCTTCCTGTCAATATATTTGAAGGCTTTAACTGTGTTGAAGACTATTGTGACGTTATTTACGTCACATCTTATGTATTATGACTTCATATGGCATTTTCGTCACAGGGTGGCGAATTTGGGTGCATGGCGAATTTGCCTGCACTAATGTTAATGAGATTAAGACCGATATAACAATAGGGGAGTTCGGGCTTGCCTTTTAAGTATATCATTTGAAGCTGTCAGTGTGTTACACGTTTGACCGTAAAAAAATAGCAATTCCGTTTACAGAAAGTTCGCATAACTAGAAGCGAGATAATGATTTTCTTTCTACTCTCTCAAAAGTAATTTTCTCCTGTTTAGTAAATTTAAATAAGAGTTTTCCTCGCCATTTTTGTGTGTGAATGCCCAGCCAACTAAACTGCTAAGATCTTTAAAGTTGTAAATATTAGCTAAAAAACACAAATATCAGGGGTGGCCGAACTTGCCCCGGTCTCCCGTATGTAGATTTTTTGTATCGTTGATGATTGGTAAAAATGTATTCGCAATATAATTTTTGCATCAATGGCGCCATTTTCAAAGCTAAAGTAGATATTTGTTCTTGTGCGTAACATATATGATGGTCGGGTGGCGCAGTGGATAGCGCGCTCGTCTTCACCAAGATGGCTTGATTCAATCCCGTTACCTGCCCGACCACGCGGGGTTTTTCCGGATACTCCGGCTTCCTCTCACATCAAGAATTAAATCATCTGCGTGCTTCCGTCAGGTCACAAAAAGAATGATTGAAATAAGTTGGGGAAAAACTGTTTTATAACTGCTATTGAAAAAAGTGCATATTACATATTTGACGATAAGTCTATAAAAGTAAATGTATAGAGAATTAAGTTATTAAAAAAAATGAAATTAAAAAAAGAAAACATTGTAATACTTTTATGTACATGTAACTGAAATTGTCGTTATATCGATATATAGTCTGAATTCCTGTTCCATCTTGAAACACCGGATTGAATTTCAAGTTTTGTAACTGTCACTGAAGTTTGACAGATAATGATGCCACATGAAATTAAACAGTTTCTGTCTGTAGCTAGTTATAAATCGGCATGCGTTGTGAAAAAGTGATACGTTGCTGAAAAATGGCGTTGAACTCGGGTTCGTTGTCTGGACAATTATTGTTGATTTCGACATAAATGAATTATCCATTGTTTCTTTTATGAGTGGTGATGCATACATAAGTTATGTAAAGACTATAACCAGACTTTCAAAAATGTTAATTATTTCGTTCATACAACAAGGAATCTCGCGGTCACATAAAACTGACAGGCTTTGAAGGCAGACGTCTCTCCTTTGTAATCTCCAAAGGAAAGGTGTCAGCCTAGCGATTGGTCAGTGTTTTTTTTTTTTACCTGAAACCAATCAAACAGCTATCTTCGTGCCTTCAAATTTGCTATGACATATTCCAGCGGTGTAGAGAGCGAAAGACCGCAACCCCTGGATATCGAGGATGGTAATGTTGATATTGAAAAGATTTTTAAAATTCACATTCAAACGTTATGTAAAATACATTTTTACATATTATAACAAAGAGAAAAATATGACATTATTTGCCAAATATTTCACTAAGAACAATGACGTTATTTTTTTGAGAAATGGTGATTTTGGAGTAATTACAGGTTTGTTAGTATGTTCTTTTTAATTGATTTTATATAGTATTAATTGTTCTGATATTACTTAAAACAAATAAGTCAAGTGATAAATCTATATTTTAAACGCATGTACTATCTGTGATAATTTGTTATTGATTGAAAATATATTTATATGCATTGTGAAGTACCTCGGGGGTCCCCAACCCCGGGGCACTATGGCTGGACCAAGAAAAGAAAAAAAAGAGCATCGGGCTGGAGAGCCAAGGATCGCGGGTTAGAGCCCCAGCGACAACACTATCTTCAATTAAAACAAGTTAACACTGTACGGTACCAACGTACTTCTGACAAATTTTACAAGCATAACGTTCACCGAATTTCTTTCTGAAACGCAACAACAGCCCGTCAAAAAGGCCGACCTCTAAATAAAAATATTATGGAATTTAAACAAGAAACGCATATATATATAGGGTTACACGTTATCCGTTAGCAAAGATTCCTAAATCCTTCTTTCCTCGGACAATCAAAGATTGGAATAACCTGCATGCTGAAATTGTATCCGCTGACAACCTTCAAAACTGCTCTCTCTGTCCATGTTTCTTAATTTTCCACATATTTATTTACATACACAATTCATATATATACATTTATTTATTCTTATAAATACAGGTTCTTCTTATATTATTATTATTATTATTATTAATAAAAAAAAAAAAAAAAATTGTCCTGGTAATGTGGCTACACTCTCATGAATATGTAGCTTGCTCAATAAACCTCCAAAACAGAGACTCGTTACTTGTGTGCTGCATATACAGAAGCCCTAACAGCCCAGAACAAAACAACGATCGCTTATCTGACCTCCTTAGGGAATTGTATTCTCTACATTATTCCCATTTACTAATTCTTGGAGACTTT